ATCCAGGATCTCTGGAGTAAATTTGGAGGGAGCAGTGCTACTAACCCAATGGTGGTGCTTCCGTTGGTTCGAATCCAACAGCTGTTCTGCAGGAAAAAGAAAGACAATCTCCTTCTGTGTCATTTAAAGGCTCAGACAACCTGCTGGAGAGTCAGCTATGAGGCCCCTCTCCAGTGATAGCTTGAGAAAAGCTGGAAATCACTATAGTCTTTGGGGATAAAATATCCTAAAGCCATTTGGCCTAGATATTTATTTCAGAAGTTTGTGTATAATGCTGATTTGTTAACACAGAGTCTCTCACATCTGATTCTCCATTCTTTCTTTGACTTTCTAGTTGCCTGTTCTATGCCTTTCCTAAATAAGGACTAAATAACATACTTTCATTTCATAGAAACCAGCTTTCTCTTTATTCCACTAACCCTTCTCCTCCATCACAAAAAAAGAAAAAGGGGGAAAAAAGCCCTTTTCACTCACCATTTCATGTCCATTCATTGTGATTCTTCCCATTTGATAACTCATTTTAGTTCATTTAACCACTATTTCCCTACATTTTCTTTCAATAATCCACAGAATGACTGAGTCAAGAGATAATTCAATTTGCAGCTTCCTTCCTCTCTCTAGATGTCTGTTGAATGAACTATGGAATGAGATTGACCTTAGATCTACTTGGGGTTCGTGTGCAGATGAAACGAGTTAATGCAGTGCAAGATCTAGCTCATCAAACTCTGTTATATCCACACACCCTCTTACACATTTCCACAGCAAGGAAGTCTTCTTTGCCTTTGATGTGACAACCAGAAGTATCAAGCTTCCTTCCACTTGATTCATCATGGTTTTTCAGTTTCTTCCTTTGGAATCTTCTCTTCTGAACACCTGATAAGTTACCTAGGCTTTAAGCCATTATCTTTTAACTCCTGTTATAGAGTTATCAGGAAAAAATGTTCTCAGTTTACATTCCTCAATCTCCGTTTCTTGATAAGTAATTTTGGTAAGCACATTCAAGCTTGTTGAGACTATTTGTAAGCAAGGATCCTGGTATTCTAAATGCTTACAAATAAATTCTAAGTGTTTGACCAGGGTAGTTACTTTGCTCTAAGAAGTAAGTGGGGAAAAATGCCTTTTAAAAGCCCTATTTCCCTGAAACATTTTGCTGTTTCACATTTTTTGTAATGATTTGGGCTTTGCCTCTTCCCTGAGCCAGAATGAATTCTCTCAACCTCAAAGTATTTGATAAGTGGTTAAGCAGACCCACCTCTTAGTGCCACTTCTCACGCCTATTTTCCAAATCACATCCAAAACGTACATGCTGCTTTTCGTGGAATTTTCACTACAAGAATGTGTATTAACTTAGTCACAATAATGCCTTTATCTACTGTTAAATTATCTTCAGAAATATCTAAATTGAGGAAGACAAGTATGGGCTCCTCCAGAGTCATCAAAAGGCAAACTCTTGACAGGTTGCCTGAAGCACACGGCTTGAGAAGGAAAGGGCCCACCTGTAAGCAGGACCAGATGTCACAGAGCCCACATGTAAGTTAGGATCAGCCAGTCTCACTCACCTCTAATACTCAGATTCACACAGCCCGAGACTTGTGGCTACTACCCAAAGAACCCACTTGTGTCAAGTAAAACATAGTAGAAACCTTCACCACTAGTTTTCTAAGGCTGAAAATCTTAACAGGAGGAGACTGCCCATCTTTCTCCCTTGGAGTAGTTAGAGGTTTAGAACTGCTGACCTTTTGGTTAGCAGCCCCATTAGTGACACGTTACATCACCAGGGCATTTGTAGTCACGGTTGGGAAGTATTTACTGGCTAGTACAATCTCCACAATAGTAGTTCTGGGGTCCTTTTCAGATCAATCAGTGAGAATATCTTCACAAGCAAACAGTCATTCAATTAACATGTCCACTAGATTCAGATGCTCATCACACACATGTTCATATCAAGCATTGGACACAATCCCAAAAATATAATGGATAGAATTTTATGATATTTGAAAAATTCTAAATTATATCTCACTCCTCATTCTGCTGTTTTTAATTATAAAGGGAAAGAAAGTTCTTTCCTAATCCAAAGGCCAAACCATAGTCAAAATGAAAGCTATAAAATAGGTTTTCAACAACCTACATCTTTTCTTTTGCTATTTTTCTTTAGCGCATATGGAAATCATTCTCTGCGAGAATAGAAAGTACATAGTATCTTTTGGGAAAATTAGGAAATATTTTATCTGGATCCAACCAGCATACTTTAGGGGATTCAACAAAGCAATAGAATTGCATGATGTGGTTTCTTTCCATAGGTGTGGTTTTCCAAGTAAGGGAGTAACTTCATTTTTCTGTTTGCAAACAGACTTACTTAACAGAGTTGAATTATAAGGGCCACAGGTACTGTCATGGAACAAGAAAAGATCTAAATTTTAGGTGTGAGTCTTTCACTTTCTAGCTTGTTGTTGTTGTGTCATCAAGTTAGTATGACATAGAGCAATCCTGTGAACAACAGATCAGAGCCCTCACCTATCCTGTGCCATCATCATAATCTCTAACACATTTGAGTCCATTGCTGCAGTCACTGTGTCTACCATCACGTTGAGGGTCTTCCTCTCTTTAACTGACTCCCTACCTTTCCAAGTATGATGTACCTTCCCAAAGAATAAAAATCACCCAATTAGTTGCTAGGGAAGGCTAAACAGTCCACACAACCTTATGGGTCTATGCAACCCTTTTTCAAGTGAAATCCATTTGTCCAGATGTTACATACTATCAGGTTGCTTCCAAATACATATTTTGTTTGCTACAGAAAGCATTTTGTAAATTAGCAAATATGAAAGAAAATTATTACATCTCATTTCTCTTGAAAAATACAAAGATGAATCACAGTGAACCAGCATTCCTATCCGGCAAAAATTTTTTAGAGGGATTGTAGCCTTTACAATGCACCATAGTCCCCACTCCTCCCTTGCACTTGTTCCATTTTATTTGTTTGCAATAGCCACAAACGCTAGTAGAACTATGAGCTTCCTAGCTTGCATTAGCTATTTACTTGTCCTTGTTTCTATAAACTGACCACCCAACCACTGAATCTGCTTTAATGTTTCAGTTATTCTAATAACATAGAGCATAAAACAGAAGTATTCTTCCAAGTGTCCTTAATATCAAAGTGGTTCATGGTCTACTCTGGTCATCTACATCTGGTCAAATAAATAATATGAAATCTATGATTCTAGCTTGAATGTCTGTATTTCACCAAGGTATATTGTGATTATCAAATACATCAATGTATAAAGGAAAAGGCTTCAAAATAAGGCCTTAACCATGTACAAAATATATTATCTACATGTGACTTGGTATTGACAAAAAACTAAAATGTTAACAGATGTGAGAATTTTTATTCTCACATGTTTAGTTTTTTTCAAAAAATATGGTTTCCTTTTGAGTCTTTTAAATTATGTTGTAACTCAATAATACCAAATAGGTATTACTTTGCTGAAAAGCATCTTATCAGAAGCACATTTTAATGAAGCATGACCTATTAAAAAACCTTACCACTTGTTTTTCTTTACATTGTGTTAAACAAGTTTGCCTTGTCACATACAGCATAAAATATATTTCACTTGCACGTAATATACACATTCTTCATATTGTTCCAGGAAGATGAGACCCAAGGGTGAGGATGAATCACCTGAACACCTGAATTATAAAGAGGAAAGGTTTTATTATCCAGTAGAGCCAAGGGGGACTATTGTCCAAAGTGGCTGAGCTTCCTGAATTGTTTGGCTTGAGGTTTTTATAGGGAAGTGGACAAAGGAGCAGTTATGGGGTTTTCTCTTTGGTAGCTTCAAAGCAGCAGTGAGAATTTACAGAGGCAGAAATAGATTCAGGAAGGTAGGGGGTCATGAGTCTAAGTACATCCTCAGTTTCTAAATAAGGAAATATTCTTGTTAGTATACATGCCTTTGGCCCAGTAGATAAGAAAATATTCTTGCGAAACTAAAGCCCTGCTGGCCTTCAGATAAGAGAAGCACTGCAGAACTTCTTCCCCTCTCCTTCCTCTTTGGGATGTAAACATCTCCCAGAGTCCCTTCTCGGGACCTCCTCTCAATACAAATGAGATGATTTTAAAAAGAGCCCCACCATTCACAGAACACATTTAAGTCTGTTTTTATATTTGGCTATTTTTTACGGCAACAGTGAACACAGCAAAGATTATGCAGGTGATACAAGACTAGACAAGGTTTTGATTTGTTATATAAATAGGGCTGACAAAAGTCAGAATCAACTCAACATGTTTGTATGTTCTTTTCTTATAAAACCAAATGTTCATTGCCCTCGAGTCCATGCTGACTCACTGTGACCCTCTATATTGGATTTCAAAAGCTGTTAGTCTTTACAGGAAGAGATGGTCTTTCTATTTCCAGAGGCGTAGATGGTCTATTAGGATTGTCAATCTTTTGGTTAGTAGAGAAACAGGCTACCCACTATGCCACGAGAATTCCTTTTATGTTCTTATATTGGAGGGGGGTGAGGGAGAAGGTCATGGATCACTTCTGAAATCTATTGCTTACTAAAAGTGATCCATAACTATTTATTGTCAATATCAAAAAAGTTGCCATAGAGTTGGCTCCAAGTCATGATGACCCTGGGTGTTAGCATTAGACTGTCCTTTGTAAGCTTTAAGGGCTGAGTGTCTGAAAGTGGATCATCAGACCTTCTTCTCAGGTACCTTAGACAAACTCAGACCCAACCTTTCAGTTAGAGTGTTAACTGTGCCATCCAGAGATAACATTGCTAATATGAGAATATACTTTAAAAAAAAAAAAGAAAGAAAAATTTGAAGAACAGATTGATATTTCAATGCACAGGGCAAAAAACCCATCTTAAAATCCCTCCCAAACTCACTGGTAGAACAGAGCAGTAGTACTTAGGTGGGCAAAGGGCTGACACTGCTGTGCTTTTCTCTTACCAGGAGGCAATGTCTCACAACTCTCTCTTTTGTGTTTAAGATCGGAGCGCAATGCTACTTGGAATGCTCAGCTCTGACTCAGAAAGGTCTCAAAGCAGTTTTTGATGAAGCAATCCTCACCATTTTCCACCCCAAGAAAAAGAAGAAATGCTGCTCCAAGTGTCAAAGCGGTTGCTCTGTTGTCTGAAGTGGCCAAGACTTGCCTGCACCCCACAGAAGGGAAGGAATAGTAGCAGATGCCTGGGTCCACGCTCACGTCACAAACAAGAGCATGAGCAGGACGGAACTCACATCACCCAGACCCTGTTCCTTCCCTGGGGAGCCCTCATAAGTACCACCTACTTGTCAGCCAACTGCCACAAACCCTGCCAGCCAGAAACACCCACTCTTTGCACTTCAAGAACACTGAGCCCAGATTTTGGCTTTTTGTTGGAAACAAAGTCAAAGGTCATTTTTTTTCCCTATCTCTTCGTCTTGTGAGCACAAAACTGACGAGAAATCATTACAGGAAAAACCGAGGGAGGGAGGAACTCTATTTCCAAATAGTGGCCTTATTTGATACCTTTTATAGAACAGTGGGACACAGTAATAGCTTGTTTTTCAAATCTGCTACTCTACCCATGTGTTTTATTTTCATCTGCACCACTTCAAGAAATTTGCTTATTACCAATTTACTGAGGCCTTACAAATCTATGCCAAGTCAGCCTAAAGACAAGAACTTTTTATATATTCACTTCTATATGCAGCTCATTTCTGCCAAAGCTTTTAGAACCAACATGTACCTCTGAATGCGCAATTATTACAAGACAAAAGACAACTGTAAACTTCATGGAAACACTCATGCAGAGCCATGATTTTTGAACCTGAATGAAAGGAAATGTCATCTGGATTATTCCAAAGATTCATCTTAGAAATGCTTCAGCTGATGAGTGGTCTGATTTTTGACATTTTTTATCATTATGGTAAATTAGACATGAACTGCATTTAAGAATGTAGTAAATCTGTTTTTCATCCAATTTGTCTGATAGAAGAGTGTGTCAGGACCCATATTTTAAGATATCCTTTATTCAGTAAAGTGAGCTTTCCTGTCTCCTCCCTCATCTAACGCATGTCTGCCCCTCCCTTGACTTCTCCCCTACTTTCACACTCTGTTCTCTTTGCTCTCCCCAGCAGTAACCTGAACTGAAAAGAATTTGCTATTAGGCAAAGAAAAGTGAACGTTCACATTTTCCCAAGGTCAAGAACCTCAACTTTTCCATTTGCTTCAAGTAGAAGTACTTCTCAGCTTAGCCCATGTGGGCTTTCATTCCAGTCAAATGACATTTTCAAGACACAGACATACACAAACAAGTTGTCCCTGAATTCATTCAGGCTCAGTAATCCATGTGAACCAAGTTGAACTGGGCTCCATGGCATTTTTCAGTGATTGATTTTTCTATGACACCTGTAGGTGGAGTCCAACTGTCAACTTCTCCATTAGCAGTTGCAGGCGTAGTCATTTGGGCCACCCAGAGTCTCCTCTTCAGGCACGACTGGTGCTAAAATATTACCTCCTTTTGTTTCCTATACTTATTTTCCCAGAAGTCTTTTCAAGGGCTAGATCTGTGGGTACCAACCCCTGCATCTGTTTACCACTGCCTTCCAGAATGATGTAATATTTTAAAAAGTGACTTAGACTTTGGGAAAGTAAAAGCTTCCAATGAGGAGGAACTGTGTATCCTTTCTACCCAAATTTTTCAATTCACTAAGAATCCTTGTGTCATGAAGTAAGTTACTTCCTCGCTTTTAATTAGAGGCTATATGGGCTTCTCGTTGATCTCATTTGCTTAGAAGTACCCTGGAATCTCTCAGGTAGGCACTCAATTTCTTATTTCAATTACATAAGCAAAGTGCTGCTGTGTAACACAAAATTACAACCATTTTAGTTAAAGACTTTACAGATTCAAACTCCTTCTGTTGGAAAAAGTCCATCTAATTCCTTCTGCTCCTGGAGGATGCACATAAATAACTATAAGGTGGAGATCATCATCTTCATAAACCTTCCACATTCCATCCATTATTTGTTTGATCATTTGTTTAGAATTTCTAATATGTACTTCCTCTTCTTATTTCAAGTTTTAGATTCCTTCTCTAATAGCAAATCATTCCCTTAAACACATACATACAAACACACACACACACACACACACACACAGACACTTCATTGTACAAGGAAAACGGGGGTTTTGTAAATCAAAACTTGACATTTAAGGGCACTACATTTGTAAATGGAAATCGCTTGTATGAAATTAACTTCACATGAGGTTGCAAATCTGTATTTTATATACAATAATGGGCATTTAGTCCAGTAATAAATGAGTTTCTATTGATCAGTTTTGTAATATTGCAGTTACATCTTATTAATGGGCCATTCCTCACTTCTAATTCATGTGTAAAAATTGAGAACAGTCTGTTTACTTTACCAAGGAGAAATTTCTAAGCAAGTGCTCTCAATGGGTAATTGGCTCCCTGGGTTGTCTCCCTAACCGGCCATGGGAATTCATTTGCTCTTAGGGGAGGGAAAAATCACTTTTACTTGGAAAATCAGATCCTGGTTAGAGATTATCTAAGTAGAACACAAATTCTTCAGAAAGTCTTAGGAGCGAATTGTTTTATCAAACGGTGAAGATACAAAACCTAAATGAGATAACTGAGACCTCGTTCCTCCCGGAGCACAGGCCCCTCCGCACAGTCACCACCGTCGGTTCACCCCGCCACCCCCAGCTCACCATGGACGAAGACATCGCTGCGCTCCTGGCCGGCTTCACGGGTGACGACACCCCCCATCCCACCCCCCACCCCCCGGCTGTCTTCTCCTCCATCATGGGCACCCCCGGCACCAGGGCATGATGGTGGCATTGGCCAGAGGACTCCTACATGGGTCATGAAGCCCAGAGCAAGAGAGGCATCCTGACCGTCAAGTACCACTGAGCACGGCATTGTCACCAACGGGGATGACATGGAGAAGATCTAACACCATACCTTCTACAATGAGCTGTGTGTGGCCCCCAAAGAGCACCCTGTGCTGACAGAGGCCCCCCCTGAACCCCAAGGCTAACCGGGAGAAGATGGCCCAGATCATATTGGAGACCTTCAACACCCCTGCCATGTACGTGGCCATCCAGCCCGTTCTGTCCCTGTATGCCTCTGGCAGAACCACCGGCATCATGATGGATCCCGGCGATGGGGTCACCCATACTGTGCCCATCTATGAGGGGTACGCCCTCCCCGAGTCCATCCTGCATCTGGACCTGGCTGGCCGGGACCTGACGGACTACCTCATGAAGATCCTCACCGAGCGAGGCTACAGCTTCACCACCACGGCTGAGCGGGAAATTGTGCGTGACATCAAGGAGAAACTCTGTTACGTTGCCCTGGACTTCGAGCAGGAGGTGGCCACGGCGACATCCTGGTCCTCCGTGGAGAAGCGCTCCGAGCTGCCCAATGGACATGTCATCACCATCGGCAATGAGCGTGTCTGCTGCCCCAGGCACTCTTCCAGCCCTCCTTCCTGGGCATGGAAGCCAGTGGCATCCACGAAACTACCTTCAACTCCACCATGAAGTGCGATGTTGGCATCCGCAAGGACCTCTACACCAACACAGTGCTGTCCGGCAGGACCACCGTGTACCCAGGCATCGCCGACAGGATGCAGAAGGAGATCACAGAGCTGGCCCCCAGCACGATGAAGACCAAGATCATCGCTTCCCTCGGAGCGCAAATACTCCGTGTGGATCGGCGGCTCAATCCTGGCCTCCCTGTCCACCTTCCAGCAGATGTGAATCAGCAAGCAGGAGTCCGACCAGGCTGGCCCCTCCATCGTCCACTGCAAATGCTTCTAGGTGGACTGTCTAGTTGTGTTACACCCTTTCTTGATTAAAAACAAACAAAAAACCACATACCCTAATTTGCACAGGAGAAAAAAAAAAGAGACAGAATTGGCATGGCTTTGTTACTTTTTGTTTCTTTTTTAATTTTTTTTTTTTAGCTTGACTCAAGATTTAAAAGCTGGAATGTGAGGGTGATAGCAGTTAGCCGGGAGTGAGAATACCCCCCAGTTCTCTAATGTGACCCAGGACTTTGATTGTACATTGTTCTTTCTTTTTTTAAAATAGTCATTCCAAATAATCACAACATGGTGAAGTGACAGGAAGCTCCTGCCTTTCCAAAAGCCTCTCCCTTCCCCTAATCAGAAGAGCCCGGTCCCCCACCCAGCTCCATGCAGGGACAGGGGTGGCAGGGAGTATTGCTTTTGTGTAAATTATACCTAATCCATTTTTGTTGTTGTTAACAAAATCTTCCACCTTAATACTTGCCCTTTAGTTTTTGTTTTCAATAGTCAACCACTGGAGGCCCTACTTTCTTAGGGCCCTTACCCTTCCTCCAACTCTAGAAATATGAAGGCTTCTGGTTTCCCTGGGGTAGCTGAGATGTGGAGGCAGCCACATGTGGAGGCTTTACCTATACACTGACTTGAGACCAGTTGAATAAAAGTGCGCACTTTAAAAAGTGAAGGGGAAAAGGCAAAAAAACAAACAAACTCAAAACACACCTAAATGAATTACTGTCATTCCACCAACTTAATCATTTCCTGTTTCACGGCTCTATCTAAGAGTGCTGGAGAAGAGTATTGAGAATACCATGGACTGCTAGGAAAACAAACAGATTTGTCCTGGAGAGGGTTAAACCGGGTGGCTCCTTGGAGGCAA